GGCGGCGGGGCGGGCGGGAGCGGCGGCCGGGGGCTTCCCCCGCCGCTATTGTTTGTTCCCTGCACGGCTACAGACGATCCCTCGGCTGCGAGATCTCGGGCACGGATAGACTTGGGCGAAGGGAACAGCTCTCCGTCCACACTAGGCAGCGGCGCTGGTGGTCCTGTGCGCAGGCGAACGCAAGGCTCTCATGACCGCCGAAGGCACTGCTGCTATAAAGGTGTAGAAAAATAACCCGAAGCTCTTAGCCGAGGAGAGCGTGGTATCCAACCCGACTCCGCTTTGGAACTGCAACCAAAGGCTATTAAAGTCAGCAGGGATCCGTTCCCTGACATCCAGCTCCAATCACAATTTTCACTTCTCCTTCCAAAAAGGGAAGCTTCCCTTCTAGGTAGACTTGGGCTGCATTCTGAAACAGGCTGTAACGGGATATTGCCAGTGTAGAAGGCACGTTATCAAAAGAGTGAATCTCGTAACTGCTCAGGCTTCTTGTCCCGCTGTTTTTCCTGTCTTGTTCCCATTTTGTCTGATCTTTCCAAATTTTGTTGTTACATCCTTGGGCCCATTAGCCTAAGTGTGCAGTAGCTCAGACAACTGGAGTTGTAAGACATCTCTCAAAATTCCTGTTAAAAGACAAGGGAAATCTCTTCCATCACTTCCTGGTGAATGAGGTGGTTGGAGCCTGGGATCCTCTTCAGCTGTTCTGAGCCGCGGATCCAGGTTGCAAAGGCTGCACTTGGTTTGGCAGAGCCTGGGGAACACAGAACAAACAAGATGATTTCTCTTTGTTTTGTGAGGAACCCTCTGCTTAGCTGGACTCCATAAGCCTTACATTGCTAATCTTTAAAAAATAGCAGTATTTTACACTTAGTGTTAATTATTGTGTGTTTGTTATATGGTTTGGACAAGCTGGTTAAGAGAAAGCTGATTAATTTTGCCCTCTCCTACTGAATAATGTGGAACGAATGCTTTATTTGGTTTTCTCTTCTTCCACTGCCTATCCTTTGGTACAAGGAGAGGAAATGAAGAGGTGGTCAAGATTTGAACTTAATGGTTTATTAAACGGTGAAATTACATTGAGGATTGTGGATACAAGGTATCTGAGCCTTGTTTCTTTTTCATACCTGATTCTGTGGCTATTCAAGGGCTGAATCAGGCTTTGAGGGTTGGTTTATGCTGTCAGTCTGTTTTGTGCTGCATGTTTATGAGCTGTCCATCGCAAAGTGACCTCCGTGTGAATTTTGGGCCACCTGTGCTAAATTCCTCTGCTGTACACAACTAGAACACTGTCAAGAGATGTTAAACTAAGCTAACTTTGGCTTAAAGTGAAAAAATTTATAATTCCTAATTTTTAGGCAACACAGCGCTAATGAAGGATGCATAACAAATTGTATGAGAAAGAAAAACTCCCTTTAGGAAAATGGAGCAAGAAACAAAAAGAAATTGCAGTCCTGAATCAGGAGTGTTCAGATTCTACTTTAGGCATCCTGCTGGGCAACCTTCCTCACTGAGTTCGTAGTCCTTAGCTTGTCTTGGAAAAACAGTAGTCATGTGTTGAACCAACAGGAAAATTAATTTCATGCCATGGTTCTCTAGGATGGAGTATGAAACTTCAGTGTTGACTGTTTTGTCTCTTCTTTATTCTCTGCTGTTCCAGAGTATTTTCTACCATTTCCATTTTAACATCCCCCTTTTTTTGCTTTTATATCTGTGAGAAAGGGAACATAAAACACAGAGAAACCCCTGGTTTTCTATTGTTCCTCTGTCATTTGATTTTATGGCCAGCAAGAGGAAGCCTAACATTTGAGACCCCTCTGATTTGCAGTCCCTAAATGTAGTTACTGTTTCGGTGATTGCTTCAAAAGTAAGTAAATAAATATATAAAAGCTGGGCACTGACCACTGAGTTGGAAGGCTCAAGCTCTTGTGTGGGATTTACTATGGGTCAAAAACTTTGTGTTAAGTCTACGCTTTCCATTTGGTTCATGTTTTCCAATGCCATCTATGCTCATAAAGAAGCAATAAGTAAAAGAGCTGTTTTGGGTGCCTCATTAACATAACAAAAACCTGGGGTTTGTGGCTGGAGACATGAAATAATGTTCTTTCCCTTTCTGTTTGGGATGTACTGAATTTCAAGTGTAATGCAGAGAAAATAAGTCTGTGAAGATGGGTGGAATCAGTGAAGTGTTGGTGCTTTGGAGGAGCTGGAGGAGTTGTGTGGATGGGGTGGGCTTTCCCTAAGCTGAGCCCTTGGCTCCCCAGGTGAGCTGGTCTCCCTGAGGAGCCTGCCTGCTCCCCACACTCCAGTCACTGAAGTGGAATGAAGTCCTTCAGGTGCTGGTGACCTGAGGCCAGCAGTGCTGTGCAGAGGCTGGGGCTTCCAGAGCGGCACAGCGATGCTCTGTGCAGCACCCTCCGCACTTTTGCTCCCATTTCCAGAAGCACATCTTAGGCTGACAACCCTCATTGTGTTTGTCAGGTCCCTGTCACAGTCTGTGGAAGAAAGCAGAGCCATCCAGGCTAAGTGAGATCTGGCACTATGCAGCAAGGCACAGAGAGCACCATGGACAGGGAAGGATGGGCAGTAGCAATGCTCTGCTAGCCTGCTGCTTTTAAGATTCTCTGCTGGGCCTGGAGCTCAGCTCAACAGCTTTTACCAAGTGCCTGCCTCTGCTTACCACCCCTTTTGTCTCCTCCAGCTACTTGTATCCAACCTGTTCTTCACAAAGGGAGCACTTCCTAAAATCCTTGGAATACTAGTGAGATCACTGATTACTAATTATCCTAACACCGTATTTGATCTTTCCAGACAGAACCCCCCCCCCCCCCCCCCCCCCCC